CGGGCCGGGGTCGGTCCCCGGTGGGACGCGGGGCAGCAGAACCGGGGCCGCCTGCGTGCCCAAGCTGTGCCCTGCCAGGTTCTCAGGGTGGTCGAACCAAGAAGGCGTTGCTGGTGCAGAGGTCTTCTCTCTCGCTGAGCTGCAAGTTGGTCGCCTTGCCCTGACAGCGAGTGAAGACCTGTGAAGTGGCTGTGTACCACTGTGTAGCAGGCCTCTGGGAGAAGGCAGCACTTAGATAAACAGAGTTTCTACTCTTTTTGGTTTTGGGTTTTTTCTTTTTTTTGTTTGTTTTTTTTGTTTTGGTAGTACAATTCTGCTTTGCTCTTGCCTCAACACACAGTCTAAATTTCTAGCAAAATAAAACTTCTTTACACCACTTACCCCCTCCCTCAGTCCTCCAGTCTGTACGTGTGTGTGTTTGGTGCAGCCCCCACTGTTATTTGAGGTGCAAACCTCCCCACACACGACCCGTATCAGCCTCAAGCAAATACAGACGCCTCTCTCTGCTGTGCTTCTGTCGCATACCTCTGCCTTTCACCCCTCTTTTTCTCCTGTTTCCAGAGCTCTTGCCACTTGTGCTTCTGCTGAAGTGCAAGATAGAGCTGGTCTCTTGCTGCTCCCAGGTTCTCCCCCAGCGTCCCCAGGCACGCTCACCTTTGCTCCCACCCCTGTGATCCTTTCCCGTGTACCCGGGGGCTGTGGCAAAGCCCTCTTGCTTTTTCGCACTCTGCCCTTGTTCAGAAGGGAGAAGAGGTAGTCCACATACCCCTCTTGTGCAAGGGGAGGTACAGACCAAACTGATCCCACCAACATGTTGCAGAGTTTGCTGATCAGCTTGTAGCATTTTCCCTTGAGCCGGCTCCACGCTGCCTCTGGCATTTGTACAGTTTATTCCGTGCCCTCCTTGCAGTTCAGCACACCGCTCCTGCTGTTTTGGGCTTGGCTGCTTTCTTGTCACACTGCCAGACCTCTGGGAAAGGACCCAGCTAAGGACAAGGCTGGTACAGAGCTTGCTGCCTGTCAGCTTTACTGAAGAGTTTGTGCCAGCGTATGCCCATTTGCCTATTATAGCAAGCAACAAGAAACCTTGCAGTTGTGGAGCATGGAAGAAAAGGCGCTTTTCAGTTCTGTTGATCCATTTGAGAGATGAGAGAGCTGGTGTTTGTGCTCAGGCCGTTTACCAGCCCAGGAAGATGAGGTAGGAAGGTGTACATAGCACAGGGAGCCACGTGCCCACATTCACACTGCAGAGGTGTTCAGCTGTCTGACCTGGAGGTAACTCCCAGACCTTGCTAAGCACAGTCCAGAGCAGGTAACAGCGGCCTCTCTCTTTGTCTGACTCCTGCTGTCTCCCTGCTCTCCCCATGCATGTGCCCGAGCACAGGAGCTGCAGGATGTCCCACTGAAGTGGATAAGGTAATTCTTGCTCCTGCAACCTCTGTTGTGCTTATTCAGTTTCTGTGAGTTGGAGCTGCCAGGAGGTTTTTAGAGGCCTCGTGATGTTGCAGGGGGTACAGTCTTATCCTCTTGGTCTCCTGCTTCCCATTCTGTGGGTACTTTATCTTCATTTGGTGTAATGATTAAGTATGATTAGCTTGCGATTATGCTCTCAGCATGCAGAGCAGAGGCTTTTTCCAGATTGCCAGCCAAAACAAATGCATGGACTGGATGTGCACATTCCCTTCCTTTAAAGGTTAAACTTAACCCAAGAAGAGCACATACCAATTGCTGCAGGAGATTAAACCTTAGTTCAAGACTGCAGACTTGCTTGTGGCCATGACTGGAAGTGACCAGACTTCTGTTATGAGCAATTACCAATTTTATATTTCTAGCCTTTTGGTGTAATTGCTTGTTCCCTGTTTCAGGGAAGCCAGTAGGAATGATTTCTGGATTGTTTTTGGTTTTGTTCTTTTTTTTTATATATTTTTCAGTAGCTTTTCCTGTCACTGGAGATTCAGTGTGCGTTTAGGAGCACTGTGTCTGTTTAGTCTCTTCATGCCTCTCGTTCTAAAATGATGAAAGGAAAATTACTTCCCCCTCCCTCCCCCGAAAATCAGGAGACAAAACAGGGAGAATTTTGAGTCTGAGTGTGATTCTAGGGAAACATTTAACTAAGAAGTGGATAAGTCTGTAATATAAATCAGACACGTGCTTTAGGATCTGATGTGTTTGTTTTTAAAGTATGCATGCAAGGCCAGCCTCTTGGCTATTCCTGTTTATCTTTCCGTCTTTAAATGTTGCGGGGGGAGGGGGAGTACCACAGGTTGGTACGGGGTGCATATGGCCCTGATGGAGATTTAGGATCATGAGTAAATGACCTTGCCTGGCTACATCTCTCCTTTCTCCTTTCTTCCACCTTCCCTCACTGTTTTGTCTTGCTGTGTTACCAGGCTTTCCTTCTCGCTCTGCTCATACACAGAGTGCATTGGTTTCAGTAGGGGTCACTAGCCACTTCTACAACACAAGTGAGAAGACTGGAGTCTGTAGGCTTGTTTCTCAGTGCTGAGCAATATGTTTGTGTTCTATTCACTGTTATCATCACTGGAATCAGTGTTAGTACATACTGATAATGGGCTTTCTGTTTTGTTTCTTAAACTCTGTTGTTTTCTCTCCCTCAGAATTGAGTTTCTGCGACACCTGAGAAGCTTCTTCCAGATCATGTTTAAAATTGACACAAAGACCCCTGAGGAAGAGCACATGGGCGGGGAGAAAGTCTTGATGACGTGTGTTGGCGTTGGATTTTCCAACCTTAGCAAAACTATAAGATAAGAAACATCTGCAGACGTCATGGAATGGGGTGACAGAAAATGCTGCAAAGATCTGATAAAACCTGCCTTTCACTGTGCTTATTCTGGCACAGGGAAACCAGTGGCGATTCCAGTGCAGAGGTACCCAAGCTTGCTGCATGTAAACAATAAAGCTGACTTTAGGCTGTCTATAAATGCAATGCCAGTATTCTGTGCTGCATGGAATGGCTGGCTGGAGTCTCAGCTGGCTTGGGACTCTGCACTGTGTCCCACTGCATGGGACACAAGTGCCTCCTATGTCCTTGTGCCATTAAGCTTTAATGCAGTGGGTGCTCTAGTTTTGTGTATCTACAGACTTCACTCAGCTTTTTCTGAAAAGTTTAGATAGAGAAAACAAGATTGACCAAAATGAGCCTTGCAGTGCAAAACAAATGAACACAACAGAAACATTAGGTTCTTGAGGTAATTGCAGAGACAGTATTGGCATGGAAATAAAAGTAAAGATGTGACAATAATTTTTTGTTTATAGATTGCATGTGTATAGAATTTGTCAAATGTTTCAGTCCTGTTTACATTGACTAAATTACAGTTTCACAGCAGGAAAAGAAAAAATACCTGTCTTTTAAATTTCCTTAATGTTAGAATACTGCAGAAGAGATCACAGCCTATACTGACTTGTTTTAGCCTCCTCTGCAAAATGGGCATGGGAGAAGAAACCTGCCAGACAGTTTTTGACTTATCGCATATATTCTTTTTAGGTTTGTTTGGCATGCCACACACTGCCATTCACAACTAGTTGTGAAAGGTAGCAAAAAAAGCTGTAGGCTTTGAGGGAGAAAAATGTGTTCAGTTATTTCATCACATTTTGTGCAAGCTGCTCCGTTTTGAAAGAGGGGATAATGATGTGTGGGCACTGCTTGGATTGACAGGTGCAAAAAGTTTCTCCTGGCCTATAAATGTTTACCCAAGAAGGAGTTTTGGTAGATTCCAGGCAAACCTGCTGAAGTTAATGCTGAACTCCTGACACAAGGAATGAAATTTATGTGTCTGGAGTAAAATAAAACCGTGTCAAAAGCTAGTATATGTATAGAGCAAGTACTAGTGACTGTGTTATAATGGTCTTACAAACTTTATCTGATGCCACTGTGAAGTGGGCATGACCTCTGTAATATGAAAAATGTATATTGGACCCAAAAGGACTTTGACAAAAATCTAGGTATTGATTAGTGTTTTATTAACTATTGCAGGCTGTGTGAGTCATTTTTGTACTGTACTTTGTTCTTGTTGCAATCTGTCTAAACATGTTTTGGAAAAATAAAATGTTTTTCCCTAAATAAGGTTTTATTTCACTTTAAAACAAAACAACAACCAGAAAAAAAACAAAAACTTTCTCCCCAGCCCTATAAGATGCCACTTCAAAAGATAAATGGCGATTTTTGAACTGATACATCAAAGGAACAGCTTTGGGTGTTGCCAGGGTGGGAGGAAGGAAGAGGGCAAGGCCTTTCTTATCATTTACTAGCTTTCCAAAATTTTATTTGCAGCTAAGGAAACCCTAAATAAAACACTAGAATATGAAATAAAATTCTGTGACTATATTTTTTTAGATTTCAGGTTGCATTAGGAAAAAGTATGTGGACAAGAAAAAATTTACCTTGCTCCCCTCTGTCACCTATGCGATGAAAAAGCTAGAAATTCTCCAAATTAAAATTACCGTCAATACAGCCAGCCACTGATCCAGAAGGTGAAATGTACAAGCCGAGATTAATAGTCACTAGAATAAAAATATAAAGCTTACACTAATTAAAGATACAAGTCTGTAGCACAGGTCAGATTTCCAAAATTTGCCTAGGTAAAAGTTTGGAAATATTGTCACAACTTCAAAAATCAAAAGTTATATTATCTTTAAACTTTTAAAACTCTTAAATTTGAAGCTGTGACAGCTTTTCCAAATGTTCCAGTTGCACCAGCCATAGAAAGGGCAATGCATTGCCCAGGTAGCAGATTCTTTTGCAATACAGTAATTATGTCGTAAAATTACCCGTGCTTAACTAAACCTCAGTGTTAAAGTTAGACTGCTAACGCTTAGCCATGCTGCAAATTGCGTAGCCTTACAGCACAACGCTTGCTATGACTCAGAATTGCTTGTTGCTTTACAGAATAAAAGATGCGTATATGAAAGGAATATGTTTTTCCAGAACAGCCAGTCTCTGGAGAAACAGAAAATTCCAGAGGAGGTTTTAGGTAAGAGCTTTCTTAAAATTGTTTGACCTTCACATTCTGCGAAAAGTACTTATTAGGAAACCCTGCAGATAAAAGCTGTCTGTTTACCAGCAGAAGGGCAATTAACGCTTGTTTTGGTGGACTGATGCCACAAGCAGTAAGATAGTTCAATTTTAGAGCTGGACAGAGGAAGTTGATTTTTGGTGAAGACAATTCATACTCTTTGCAGCCACAGACTTTATGGTAAGGATGCTAGTTACTAGGAGATGCATCTTTCATCTCAGTCCATCATGGCAGATACTCAGTTGACTTGAATTTGAACTGATTAGCCGTACATGAATAATCCTGTACTCTTTTGAGTTTAGTTAATCTCTTTGGGTGAACCACTCTGATAATACCTTTCTGCTATGACCGGAGGCTTTTCTGCTCACAGAAAGCTTTAAGGCTGGACCATGAGGAAGTACGGGTGTGGGAGGGGGCTAATTAACAGAAGTATTTTGTAAAGTGCATTTTAATTGCAATAATTTTAACATATGGGGAGAGGGTGAAGAATGCTCAGTGAAACAGTTTGGGAGAGAACAAATCAGAACACCTCACTAAATGGAGAATCTCTTCCTTTGAACTTGTCTAACAGGAAAGCTGCTGCAGTGGTGATGTGAAAAGTATTTGCAAAACAGGCCTTTACCTTGCACCCGCTTCCACTTCTGTAGTATTCGTTGTTAAACTCTCTTCCATTTCTAAGCTATCATGGTAACTTGACTGCGCCTTCTGTGGTTACGTCAGAAAATTCGTGTTAACGTGCTGTAGGACAGGTTCTGGAGCAGTAGAGATCATGCTGGAGGTGAAATTGCTTCAGTCCAACCCAGTGTGCCTTACTGAAGGCATATGGCTAGAAGCCGGTGCCATAACTCTCTGGGGAAGCACACAGCAGGTAAGCTAGCTAGGCCAAAAGAGTAAGTACATGGCTGTCTTGGGTAATGTTTTCAAAATGGTGATTATGTTGCTGCCAGAGCATAGATACTCTCTCTCATCTTCTCCTTCCCCACAGGTGACATTATGAGTCAAATGGATTTTGTTTCAAGCCACTGAGGCATAGTTCTGCTGCTTGCAAGCTCTGACATTTACTTCCCTGTTTTTCAATTGTGCTCTTGAGACAGCAACAGGAGGAAAAAAAAGACAAAGAAGAAAAGTACCAGCTTTCAGGAGGCGTAATTTTGCCTATGAGTTTCTTTCTCATTTTTTGATATTGCATATTGCATGGCCATCTCCACAATTTTATTTTGTATGTCTGATGAAATAATTTCTATTTAGTCGAGATCCCAGGGGAGACCAAGTGAGACATGCAACTGTGTCAGGGCAACTCAAAAGAAAAAGATGGAAGGGGTGTCTTCTACAGTTACTGATTAGGTTTTGGTAAGCTCTGTCTTAAAAAACAGTTCTTGGTAGGACGTGTACAGTTTTCCTTGTGTCTGATCTAGGAGCAGCACTGACAAGCTGCTACCTGTTGTGAGTGGGAGGGGCGAAAAGACAAAGTCCTTCAGGAAAGAGAATGCGTGAGTTGAGCTCTGCGGTGACCACATTGTACGTGTGATGGAAGTCATATGCTGCGTCAGAGCATCACGATGTCCACACAGCACTTGTGCTAGATAAAGTTAAGTTGTGACATTGTTATAAGACGGTTAGGATGATTAGCAGGAGTAGGTGTTAGCTGTGAGTGCTACCTCCCTCCTGGAACAGCAAGATTGTTCCGTATGCACACCAAGAAGAGTGCCCAGACCTATAATCCCTGTGTACTACAGAGTATAGAAACAACTGTGTTTGTGGAGATACCAATAAGGAGACCCGTGGAGAATATGTTTTATTAGAAACTGGTATTGATCTAGGATATAACCACAAGAAAACAACAGCCAAAAGCAAGTTTTTACATTGGGGTGATCATTGGCTGTGAGCCTGTGGAAGCGAAGTGGCCAGGAGCCCGCCGCTGCTGGCAACCCCTCGGCACAGCGGTGCAGCTTTTCAGGGGGACCCTTTGTGCATGCCGGCGCTGGACTTTGCATGTCTGCCCTCACGCTGCATGCCCACCAGATTGCCTACACTCACCCCACTCCTCTCTGTTGGCTTGGCCACTCTTCCCTGACATCCTCCGCCGTGCTGCTGTTTGCACAGCCAACATCCGTACTCCGCAACAGCGAGCCTGTGCTGGAGATCTATAGGGTCCTTGTGGGGACTGATCCATGCCAGCTACCCAGTGCTTAGCTGTGGGTGAGCTAGTAGGATTAAGGGCTTGATTCCAGCGATCATTGCTGCAGGTCAGTGGCACATCCCGTTACGCAGCACTTGGTGGGGTCAGTAGGGCACCTGTGTTTGCTGGCTGCATTGAAAGTCACACCACCTGAGAACAAACGTCTTGCTCCTCCTTATCTTGCTTCTACCCTGCAACCAGTCTGTTCCTTGAAAGCTACTTACGCCTTTCCCAATCCTAAAACTGTCTCCATGGATGAGAAAAAAAGTTGCTTCAGCTAGTGATGAATGTCAATATGTTCTGTAAGGTAAGACTGCAACTCTGAGTGGTCATCCCTCAGCACCATCAGGGTAGACAGTTCTCTTCCATGTACTGGAAATGTAGTTTTGATTAGGTATAAAATACTATGCATCTGCAAGCTCGGTGTAGGTCAAAATATGCATGAGTATTCTCTTTTTCTTTTTTTCAAACATCACCAAAGTGAAAAACAAAAACCTTATGGCTTGTTCATATGCCAGCATTCAGAAGGTGCTTGATTCAGTAAGGCTTCCTGAGGTATTTGTTTTGTATTTATAAACACATCTGCAGATTCAGAATGTGTTTGCAGGAAAGGGTTTCTGCTGCAGAATGTTGCTGAGCATTGAC